GCTGGGCAGCCTTCGCCCCCAACCGGGGTCACGAACCCCCATCAGTGCAACTGAGAAGTGACCCCAGTAGGGGTCTGTATTCATGACTACCCAGCCCATGGTGGTAAGTTCATGTCTCTGCGGACATACGCACATGCATGGTGGGCGAGCTGCAGCCTGTGGGCCTTCCTACACAGGACAGGATCCCCAGGACCTGCTACACAGGAACATCTGACCTACTTCTAAGGCCCTGGGTCTGGCCCAGGCTGCATTCTCGACTCCTCTGACTCCTCCGGGAAGTGTGGGCCTGTGTCCCAGCCCAGAGGCTGGACGCCAGAAGGGGCGGGACTGGGCGGGCCAGAATGCCTGCCTGCGGCTGGGGGACAAAAGCACGTGGAGAGCTTTACTCTTCTTTCCTGACTATGGCTCTTCGGCCCAGGGGATAGCCATCCCCCTTCCCCAGTGTGGCCATCCTACCCTGAGCTCCCCAAGTTGGCTCCGATGGGACAAGAGACATTCACTGTAACTTTTGAGTGCTACCAGAGAGGTCTGCCAAGCACCCACCACTGCTGTTTGCCAAGAGCTGACCCTGCCCCTCTCCACTCTGGGTAGCATCTGCAAAGCCATCAGCCCTGTCCTGAGATCTGGGGTCTGGGTTGAAGGTCTGTGTTTGGCATCCTGCATTTTGGAGTTTTAGGTTCAAGGTTTAAGTGCCAAGACCTGGATCTGGGTCCTCAGTGTGGAGTTTAGTTTTGGATTCTGGGTTCTGAGTTTTGGGTTCAGGTTGTGAGTCCTGAGTCTGGGCTCTAAGTTTGGGGTTCCAGGTTTCAGGTTTGGGATCTGGGTTAGGATCCAGGGCTCTGGGCTTTGGGTTTGGGGACTGAAGGTCAGTTCCCATCCCTTCTACGCCCCCTACTGGCTGGTCATCATGGTCGCGTGTCTGCGCATACTATGTGGGTCCCACTTACCTCCAGAGGCTCTTGAGAGAGTGTCAGTCAGTGGATGGAGAGTAATGTGAGGAGCAGGCTTGAATAAGGGGGGCCAAGGAGGTGACTGGTGGACTTGGGGGCAACCACCAGATACATTTCTGTCCTGGAGGGCTCTGGCAGTCACCAAAGCTCCTGTCAGTCATCTGGCAACCCCCACTGCCTCTCACCCCACTCCAGGGAATGGCTTGGGAGAGGTTTTAATCCCCCTGTGAGAGGTGGGTAAACTGAGAAATTTGAGACCTTTGTTCATTCAACATTTATTGAGTGTCTACTGTGTACCAGGCTCTGGTACACAGTAAATATCTCAGGATATATAGCTGTGAAAGATCTAAAGTTCCTGCTGAATAAAACAAATAAAATAAATTTTAAAAAAGAAAAGAAAAAGGAAAGGGGGGTTGAAGTCAGGGCCTCATGCTTGCTAGGCAGGTGCTCTGCTGCTTGAACCACTCTACTAGCCTGTTTTGTGTTGGGTATTTTCCAGATAGGGTCTCTAAACTATTTGCCTGGTCTGGCTTCCAACCGTGATCCTCCTGATCTCTGCCTCCTGGGTAGCTAGGATTACAGGTGCGTCACCGTGCCTAGCTAAAAACAAAGTTCTTGCCGTGACTTCTGACACAGCAGGGAGGGCACACCTCGGAGATAAGATAACAAAGAAATAAGCCCAGGGCTGGAGATCTAGCTCAGTGGTTGAATGTTTGCCTAGCATGCTGAGGCGCTGAGTTCGATCCCTAGTACCATAAAAACAAAACAAAACAAAACAACCCAAACAAACAAAAAGCAAAGAAACAAACCCAAGTTGGGGTGTGCAGAGATAAGGAGGAAGAGTAGGGAGACAGGGGAGAGGGAGCAGGGTGGTCTGAGGAGGAGGCTTCTCAAAGGAATTGACATCTCACTGAGACGAGTGGGTGTCAAGGAACAAGTGGTGGCTTCAGTCCCAGACAGGGGAACGAGGGGAAGAAAGAGCCTGTGCAAAGGCTTAGGGGGACTGGAAAGAACCCAGAAGGCCACTGTGGCTGGAGCTGTCCTGCCTCAATCCACAGGCCCTTCAGAAATCTGCCTCTACCCTCTGCATTCCTCTTGGCATGGGGCAGAGGGAGATAAGGTGGCTGCCCTGAGAGAGGCTCTGGAACATGGTGTGTGTGAGTCTGCATCTGACTGGGCCACAACCAATCTCTATATCAGAGCTGGGGGAGCCAGAGGGGAAGAAACCAGACCCTGGCCCTCTGACTCTTCAGGTCGCTCAGGCCCTGGCAAGATCTTGCCAGCTTATCTATCCTTCCTGAAGGGCATGAGGCTTAGGCTAGGAGAGAGAGGTGAGCACTGAGCCTTGGTGTGACCTGTCCTTGTTACCCACTATGGGACTACTGCCTGCCTATCTGCCCACTGACTTGCTCCAGACATTTGACAGCCAATCCTGCTGCTAGTGGAAAGGGTAGGCACTAGGAGGGCTCCTGAGCAGGTTTGAGGGTGTTCCTGCGGGTGAGCCCTGGGTACTTGTTCCAGGAGCCAGCAAAAGCAAGTTAAGAGTCAGAATTCAGCCAGGCGCCCGTGGCTCATGCCTGTAATTGTAGCTACTCAGGAGGCAGAGATCAGGAGGATCATGATTTGAAGCCAGCCCTAGCAAAGAGTTCACGAGACCCTATCTCGAAAAAACCCATCACAGAAATAGGCCTGGTAGAGTGGTTCGAGGTGTAGGTCCAATACCACAAAAAAAAAAAAAAAAAGTCGGAATTCAGTCGAAAGTTCAGCCCCAGTCTCCATTTGAGCACTGGTGAGGGAGTGAGATTGGCTCTGTGCACCCTGTCCCCACTGCAAGACTACACCTGTCCAGTGTATGGGGGAAGGGACCAAGACACTTTCTCCCTCTCTCCACTCACATGCAAGGAAGATGGCGTTGTGAGGCTCTGGCTGGCTGCGTGAGCCTGCCCAGCTGGGCCACAGACCTGGACACCCAGGTCGCTCATGTACCCCTTTTTGAGCCAATGTTGGGTAGTTTCCAAGGGATGGCACTTGTATGAGGATGAAAGAAATGGGGCAGGGAGTCTGGGCGGCCCTGTGTATATGTCTCCTGGTTTTGCCCTGATAAATGAAGGGATTGAGTAGTGTCTTGTTGGCTGTGCCTGTGGGTGGCTGGGGCCACTGTGGGATGTGGGATGCCCAGAGTCAGCTGTCCTGAGGGTCAGCAGGCCTGGATGATGGGGCTGCCCAGAGGTCTCTTTCTGTGGGTCCCCTTCGGGCTGTCGTCTCCTTTTGTGGTATTTCTGGCTGTCTCTGAGGACCTTCCCCCCACCCCCCACCTCTTTCTTTCTCAATACTATTGCCAAACATCTGGAAGAAAAGTGAAAAACTTGTCCCCCACCCCAGCCCCGGATGTTGTCAGATTTCCAGATGTGGGGTGTTCTGCCCTCCAGATGAAGGGAGGAATGTGTTCCATCCGGGGGGAGGGGCCCAGCCCTGGACGGCTGTTCTTTTAATGTCAGGCTGAGTGACTGGATGAGAGGGACCTAGGCTCAGCAGGAAGACAGTGGGGACACCCCAGGTAGAGGCCTGGTGCATCCTCCTCTCAGGCTTGAGCTACACCGGTCCTCTCTACTCCTTGGAAATCCCTTGAGGCTTGGGGGTGGGAGCGGTGCCTCTGAAGTTTCTATCAAAGGCTTCAGGCACTTAAAAATAACCAGGAACACCCCCTTCCCACCCTCCAGGCACAGACATTGGGCAGGGAACAGAGCCCAATGTGCTAGCAAGATGTCCCCCACTCTGTGCCTTGTGCTGGAAGGCTCTCATGCCACCTCAGCCGCCTTCCCATCTCCCCCAAATGGTGGCCCCGCCAGACTGTGCTGTCACTGCCATCTGTGGAGGGCTGGACACCAAGGAGTAGCTCCAGGGCTAGGCACTCTAGGCAAGCCCTGGGGTGCAGGAGGTGGGCACTAGGAATGGGCATTGTGGGTAGGAACTTGGGTGAGTGAGCAAAACCTCCCCAGCACCTTGGGTCCCGCAGAAAGGCAGACCGTCTTGGGGCCCCCACCAAAAGTGAGCAGAGGGAAATGTGGGGAGATGGAAACTGCACCAGGTACTTTAGAAAGAGGGGCAGTGGGGCTGAGCCTCACCTGTGTCAAACACAAGAGGGCCAGGGCATTTGGGAGGAGGGTACAGTGGGTACTGTGGTCTAGAGCCAGGCCCTGGGGTGTGCAGGGAAGGTGGGGGGCTGGGAGCTGCAGGGAGAGCCAGTAGGAAGCCAGGAAATGAAACCTGAGACATTGGCCTCAGGGTCAGGCAGCTGGCCAGGGGGCTGTTGAAGTGGCCTGGATGACAGTCCCCATTCCACTGGTGCTTGTAGGGTTTCTAAAGACCCTTGGATGCAGCTGCCTACCATGGTCAGACACTCACTCATAGGCACATATAAACACCCAGACATAAACACACAGAGGCGGCACCACAGACACGCTTACATAGACCCACACAGACTTGCACGCCTGCGAACACCCAGAAGCAGAGACAATACCCAAAGACACACTGACCCTGCCCCAGACAGAAACGCGGCACCCTCAGACCTGCCACAAAGACGTTCAAGCAACAAACACAGATACAGAGACCCCCACCACATCCAGACACAGAGACCCCCACACAGAGACGCATGCTGACCTCCTCTTCCCCTGCATCCGTGTATACATGGACACAGGGGATTCCATGTTCAGGTGTGAAGTTCAAAGTACCCTTAGGTAGTCCAGGTCCTAACACAGAACACAGCATATGCTTGGTCCAACCTTCTCTACCTATTCAATTTACTGGCCTGCCAAAGGGCAGCAGGGCTGTGTGCGCATGTCTGGGCTGAGGGTAGCCTCTGTCTCCCTCCCCCTCCCTCTCCCCAACAGGTGATCAAAAGGAATGGAGAGCCCTCCCTTCTCCCCCGCCCAGTCCTGGGCCTGAACAATGCCCTCCCCAGGCCCCAAAATAGCCCCTGAGCAGAGCCAATGCCCTTTTATGGCCCTGTCCCTATTGTGCACGGTGGGGGTGGGGCTGGGGTCATGAGGTATCCAGGCAGGATAAAGGCCCCTGGGTGCAGAGGGCTCCCCTATCCTGCTCTCTGCATCCTTCTGTCCTCATTCCTTTGTGCTTACAGCTCCCATGGCCCCCAAGAAGCCAGAGCCCAAGAAGGAGGATGCCAAGGCAGGCTCCAAGGCAGCTCCAGCTCCAGCCCCTGCCCCTGCCCCTGCCCCTGCCCCTGAGCGCCCCAAGGAGGTGGAGTTTGATGCCTCCAAGATTAAGGTGGGTAAGGGAGCTGGATTGTGGCAGGAGGGCCATGGCAGGTGAGTGGATCCCAGACTGGACCTACCCATTGGCAGGTTCCAGAAGCAAGCACTGAGCTGAAACTGGTAGTCTCTGTGCAGAGGTCAGATAGCCCTGCCTGCTTCAGGCATTTGGAGGGTTGTAGCAGGAGGGGTGGTGGTCAGATGACTGGCAGAACTCATGCTGCTGAGAGCCCCGTGCACTTTAAGGGTGGAGTCTGGACTGGGGTTTGAGGGTATGTCTTTTTGGTGGTTTTGGAAGCAGACTCTCCCTTGCTCTTCTCCTGGAGTCAACTCTCCTCCAACCCTAAGACCTCAGTAGTTAGGTAGTGATCATTCTTGTCTGGCTGGGGTTCCCAAGTCCACACCAAGTCTCCTTGAAATGGGTAGTAGGGGGAAGCAGGGCTGCCACTCACCCCTGCCAAGATCACTGGGGCAACTGAGGCACAGGTTGGGAAGGGAAATCTGGAAAGTCATGCAGGAAGCTAGTTGTGGTGCTGTGATCAGGAGTCCCAGGAACCCCTCCTGACTGGCTGGGAATTCTTCCTCAGAGTCTAAACTTGGAGGCAAAGCCATGACTGCCACTTGTGGCATCCACATAGCAGCACGCAGTCTGCACCCTGCCTGTTTTCTCTTCTTGGCTGGCCATCAGCCTCTGCTGCCCTGGCTGCCTCCTGAGGGGCCTGGGGAGCCCTCTCCACCTCCATATGTGCAGCAAAACTTGCTCCCATCTCTACAGGGCCTCCTCCATGTCATGAACCCTTCCCATAGGCACCACCGACCCCTAGAGACATGGGTTGACATCCCAGCTCTGTTCCATCTGTGTCACCAAGCTCCTTCCCAGCTCTGAGGCTTGTTTTCTTCAGCTGTGAAATTGGACCATAAGCACCGCCTTGCAGGGCTACAGGAGACCAGGCAGAGCAGTTAGCAACCTGTTCCCCTGCCAGCCTCAGGCCCCAGGCTTGTATCCTGTAGGCCCCCTTCAGACCCATGGTGGCACTGTCCAGCCTCAGTAGGTCTGAGGTTGGCACAGATCCACCTCCCCATGAGATGGGGATAATGAGGTCCTTCTGTGTCCCCTTTACCCCAGTCTCACCAGGTCTCCTGGTGGAGAGAGCTCTCTGAGGAACAGGAATGACAACGTGTTCTTACCAACACTGGGTTGAGCCAGAAGCCAGGAGGGACACCTGGGCAGGGTGGCAGGGACACGGTGTTCCTTTGCACTGGTGTGCCTATGGAGGTTGCTGGTGCTCTGAGGGAGCCACAATGGAGAGGCACCAGTCATGTCCCCGTCCCCCCAGCTCCTTTCCCTGGTGTGACCTTGACCTTGAGGAGAATGACTACAGTGATAAAAATAGATCTGGAATCAGGTGAGGAGGGGGACACTGGGTCCCAGGAGGCCTCCTGACCTCAGGGTGGCCCCACTGTGGCCTCAGAAACCATTCAGCAGCATAGCCCTGGGAGGGCTGCCCAGGAGCCCACAGACAGGGTGTGTGAGGGCAGTGTGGGTAACAGTGTTCAGGCTTGAGGGGCCCAAGGGGTAGACACACATACATGGACACACATGCTTACTCCTTCGCCACGGTACCTCCTGTTTCACTCTCATTGACTGTCCTGCCCACCAAGACCCAGACTTGTGGCATTAGGCACAGCAGGCTAGAACCAGAGCATCCAGGAAGGTCTGGTGTGGGCTGGGGCCTCAGGGAACCAGGCCTTCATCCTCATTGCCCCTGACTGGGGCCATCTGCATCTGGGTACATACAGATCAGGGGTAGTGGGGAAGCAGGGGGGTGTCAAGGTAGACAGCAGAAGGTCTTGGATGGTAAAGGCTTGAATGCTGAAGTAGGGACAGGCTGGGACAGCCTGAGACCTGGCTACCTCTGAGCAACCAGGAGGAGGTCTGGCCCTACCTTTGAGCTAGGTGCTCAGAGTCTTTACCTCTTTTCAGATCGAGTTCACACCGGAGCAGATTGAAGGTGAGCAGAGTCCTGGAGGGTTCAACAGTGACATGGGGGAGGAGGGTGGGCTCTCTGGGCGAGTGCCCACAGCTCACTGCTCTCTTCTGGCAGAGTTCAAGGAAGCCTTCATGCTGTTTGACCGCACACCCAAGGGTGAGATGAAGATCACGTATGGGCAGTGTGGGGACGTCCTGCGGGCCCTGGGCCAGAACCCCACGCAGGCTGAGGTGCTCCGTGTCCTGGGGAAGCCAAAACAGGAAGGTAGTAACCCTACCTGGGAGCCCCCATTAATACCAGCTCCAGGGAGACTTCAGGGTGGGCTGCCATCAGTGGTTGACACAGCATGACACTCCCTGCCCTCCCATTGTCTGGATGAGGACATGGAGACTGGCTGCAGGGCCGTGCTTACAGGGTCACAAGGAGGATAGTTTGTTGGACCATATGGCCTCATGGAGACTGAGCCCATTGCCAGCTGGCTTTCGTGACTGACAGGAGGACAGGGTACTGGCCTTGGGCCTCAGCTTCTTCTCCTGGTCTGTGCACACCTTTGTGGGTCATCATCACCTTGGCCACTTGCTTTGCCCTGGAGGAGCAAAAGCCTCCATCCCAGGTCCAGGGAAGGACTCATCCATCAAAGCGGGCGGAGAGGGAGGGCTGTGAGAAAACGACACCAGCAGAGGACAGAGCCCGCTGTGGGGTGCCCAGCAGCATCCCGTCCTTGTGGTCAGCAAAGGGCTACATAAACCGAAAACTTCTTAGTAGACTGTAAAGTGCCTTGTGATGATGACGTGCTTTGCAAATGGCAAACTCTAGGCTCTTTGGGAACTCTGGGAGAGGGGATTGTTCCTTGCTAAGACGCGGCATAAGGGTGTACCCATATCACCCCTCAAAGTCGGGACTTGGTTCCATCTCTCTGCAGAGCTTAACTCTAAGATGATGGACTTTGAAACGTTCTTGCCCATGCTTCAGCACATCTCCAAGAATAAGGACACGGGCACCTACGAGGACTTTGTGGAGGGGCTGCGGGTCTTTGACAAGGAGGGCAATGGCACCGTCATGGGTGCTGAGCTCCGTCATGTGCTGGCTACTCTGGGTGAGAACAGCCTCCTCCTTCCCCCTCACTCCGTTTCCAGGGGCGTTCTGGGAGAAAATACTAGTAGTCTGCAGCCAGGTCTGTATCTCATCTGTGAAATGGACAGAGTGACAAAGTGCCTCAATGGCAGGCACCAGAGATGTCATTTAGGTGGTGAATAAAGAAAGCCTGTTGCACAGCTTCACAGAACTGAAGGGGGACAGAGACTGCTTCAGGGACAGGGAAGGCCTGGAAGATGCACGAGGATCAGCTTGTCCTGGTGTTCATTGCTCTAAGTGGCTAAGAAGGTCATCTGCCTGTTCTTGGTGGACTGGGTGGGGCCTCCTGACCTCTGTGGGCTCTGTGTACCTCCTACTTAACATCCCTACCATCTGGTGCCCTCGCCAACTCCTCAAGGTGCTTTTTCCTGCAGCAAACATTTACTGAGTGCCTGCTGTGTTCATCCCTGTGCTGGTCTCTGGGGTTGTGTGTGGGGTGGCGGGGGAGGGGGGTTCTAAGGGAGGTTGATGAACAGGGAAGCTGAAGTTGGCACTCTGACAAGGAACCAGAACAGCACATAAGAATGTAGAGTTAAGAAAGTGCTAGACTTGTCTGTGGAGCAGTGGGTGGCCCCTTGGTTCCCTCCACAATTATCCCCCACGGTCCTCAGCGACTACCCATGAGCTCTATCCTCAAAGGGTGTCTTCAAGAGAGGCGGGGGCCCTGGCCTCCTACTGATGGAGGGGAAGCCCTGCCAGCCTATTGGGACAGAGGATAGTAAGTATTGGTCATTTGTACACCAAGATGCCCAGACTCAGAGAAGACACCAGGCCTGAACCCCAGGACCTGCCCATTTTTTGGAGACAGGGTCTTGCTATGTAGCTCAGGCTGGCCTGGAGCTTTCAATCCTCTGCCTCTGCTTCCCTAGTACTGGGATTACAAGTAGGAGCCACCACACCTGGGCCAGGCCCCACCCTTCTTGACTTGCCACTGGCTCTTCTGGACTTGTGGGAACACTGGAGGGCAGACCCACGACCCAGAGGGATCCAGTGGGCTCCCCTCCCACCCCCATGCCCTGTCACACCTCTGAGTAGTGCTGACTTAGTCTTCTACCAGGCGAGAGACTGACAGAGGACGAGGTGGAGAAGTTGATGGCGGGACAAGAGGACTCCAATGGCTGTATCAACTATGAAGGTGGGTTCAGCGGGGTGGGGCTTTTCTAGGAGAGGTCACGGGTGCCCAGCTCCACCCTTGGCTGCCTGGCAAGAGCCCCTGCCACTCACTCTCCCTTCTTTCCAGCATTTGTGAAGCACATCATGGCAAGCTGAGCCCTCACAGGTGAGAGCCTTGCTCCCTTTTGTGCCAGTTGCTGCTGCCTCCCCACCTCTAGCAAGTCCTACTCTTGGGGCATCCTGCTGTCTCCATTCTCTGTTAACTTGCAGCTGCCTTTGCTTCAGGGAGCCCGGGGAGGACAAGCTGGGGACATCTCATCTCCTGTCTATGATGCTGACACCGGTGGCCTGGAGCTGCAGAAAGGAGGGTTGTGGACCAGATTTCTGCACACGTCCTCAGACCTCTCTACGTGGCGTGGCTGTCATCTCTGGTCCCCGTTGGGTTGTGTTTGCCTGTCACTGGTTTTCTGTCTCATCCCATGGGCCTCATAAATAAATGGCTTCTTCCTTTCTTTCTTCCCTCCCTTCCTTCCTTTCTTCTTCTCTTCCTTCCTTCCTCCCTCCCTTCTTTCTTTCCCTTCTGATTTCTTTCCTCTCATTGGCCCTCTGGCTGACAGCTATCTATTCTATGACTGGACTGGGTCCCAGGCTAAGGTAAAGGAGGCGTGGGTCCCCTTCCTTTGCTCTTGCCCTCCCTTCCACCTTCTAGAGAGGGCAGCCATGCTGGGGTCCTAACACAGAACTGCCCCTGGGAGCCTGACAGCATTGTATGAGCAATCAGGCAACCATGGGCCAGGGCCTAAAGCCACCCGTGTCATCGAGGCCCAGTATAGGAAACGATCTTGCCTGAGAGACACTGGGAATGGGTGGCAGGGCAGGAGCTGACTTTGTCCCCAGGCTGTCAGAGTTGAAGGACACTTTAGCACAAGGCCAGTCCCAGATGAAGAAACTGATGTGCACTGCCTGCAGCATGGCTCTAGAAAGAGGTGTGGGCCTTGCTGGGGTGGCGCTGGGTCCACCAGAAGGTTCCTTGGCCCAGGGTTCTCAGAAGAAGTCAGGGTCTGAAGCCCAATGGGAGCTGCATGATTAAGATTATGCAGGCTTAATGGGGAGGAAAAGCCAAACCTTGCTGAGAGGCCCTGGAGATAGAGAGTGTGGGAGAAATAGAGGGCTCAGAGGGAGAGTGGGCCACACAGGGCAGGGAACAGCTCACAGATCAGGGGGACCCAGGAGGTGAAGGAAACCTCCTTCAGGGTTCATTCCCATGTCTCTTGTGTATGCAAGTACGCCTGCTTGTGAAGTGGGGATAGGTGTGCAGGAGTCAGCTTGAAGGCCAGCGTGGGCCAGGTTGCCTGAGGGTGTTGGTGTGGTGTGGGGAGACGGTGAGTACATGTGTGAGTGTCAGAGTTGTGAGAGTGTGTGTGGTTGTGAGTGTGGGAGGGATCAGGGTGTCATAGGACTCTGTTGCTTCTTCCTTTTATCCTCTCTACATTTACTGAGCATCTGCTGTGTGCCAGGCTCTGGTCCAGGTGCTGGGAACATGGCAGTGGAGGCCACAAAATCACAAAATGCAGGCACATTGTCATGGGTCAACTAGTGAGGGGGGTTGAGGAGGACCTGGAAACCAGGAAGGGACTGGGAGTGTAGTGTAGTGTGTTTGTATGTGTGTATGTTGAAAATAGGGCCTCAAACATGTATTTGTACACCCATGTTCATTGCAGCATTATCACAATAATCAAAGATAGAAACCACCTAAATGTTCATTGATGGACAAAAAGTAGTATGTACACACAGTGTACTCCACTGCATATTCAGTGCTGAGGACTGAACCCAGAGCCTCACACAATGGAATGTTATTCAGCCTTAAAAGGGAACAAAATTATGACACATGGATGACCCTGTATGAACTGGATGGTCTCAGCATCTCCTTCTGGGGATGCCATCTTGGGCTGGAGTCCTGAGCAGGGTTAGAAGCTGCTCTCAATCACTCTCCAGGCAGGAAGTGGCCCTGTCCCCATGTTCACGTGCCTCAGTCCCCAGGGCGTTTGTGTCCTGCTCTGTCAAGAATGTCTGCTCCTCCTCTGTTATTCCCAGCTTTCTGTCAAAGACCCATCCGCCCTTTTGCAGGCTCCCCTAGTTCCTGGGAGTTACCATCTGACTGAGGTTGGCTCAGTGGTGGAAGGGACATCCCATACATGCCCCCATGACACTCTGTGGCCCCCACATACCCATCTCCTTGTATAGCCCAGGAGGGGGCAGGTTGAGTGGCTGTGGAGGGCAGGGTCAGGGTGGTTGTGTCTTATGAGCCTTGCTTGGGTAATTAGGTCCCACGCTCTGAGGCTCAGCTCCATCCAGAATGTGTCTCTGTCCCTGCTATGGCCACAGTGCCATGCTGGCGACTCTACTGATCATGCGTCATTCTTGGGCTTGGGTCACTGACTGTGGGTGCCTGTGCCAGAGTAGATGGGTGGAGGCACCTAGAAGTAGCACTCAGTTGCCAAGGTGAGCCTTGCCTTGCTCAGCCTCCTCCCACATGCCTGGGGGGGTAATATGTGTGCATTTCTGCGTGTTCCTGTGTGCTGTGTCCACAAGTGTGCAATGTATCTATGAGTGAGCGTGTGTTCCTGCTTGTATGTGTGCTGCGCATCTGTGTCCAAGTCTGTGCATGTGTAGTTATATATGTGCTCATTTATCTGTGCACATGTACATGTGTGTTTGCTGCTGTGTGTGCACGAATGTACATGTCTGCGTGCATATGTGCTGGGGGGCTCTGCTGAGTCAGCGCTGGTGCTGGGCGGGCAGCACTGCCAGCCCAGCTGTGGCCTCCCCACAGTTGCATAAACACTGGTCCCAGCTCCCTCCTCAAGCAGGGTGGTCCTGCTGCTGGTGGGAAGGGATGGGAAGGGGTAAAGGGTTTGTTATATACTAGCCTGGTCCCCTCTGGGGCTCAGGTGCTGGGTCATGAGCACCGTACAGCTCAGGTCTTTCTGCCTCCCTTCCCTCACCTGGCCTAAGCCTGCCTCTGAGTTCTCCCCAAGGTGGCAGAAATAGCTGCCTCTCCACTCCTGGTTCATGTTGAAATGGAGGATCAGTGGGGGAAGGCCAAGGGTAAGGCTCAGTCTCGGGATCCAAGACAGTGCCAGACGGTCTCCCTGAAGCTGAAGAACCTAACTCAGGAGGTCCAGTGACATTGTGGGGCAAAGATATTCCAATGGACCTTCAGAACTTACTGCTTTAGGGCAGTAAGCTTGGAGTCTGGAACTTGAACACACAGGACAGAGAACTGTGGGAGTTGGGCCTGTGATGAGTCCAGAACAAATTGTCCCTCTGCTGCTCTGATGTCCTGCATGGCCACCCATGGCTCTTGGCAGCCTCCCTTACATCCTGTGTCCTCTCTTCCAGACATTATTCCCAGGGACTCTGGAGTCACCAAGGGGACATGGATAGACCAGAAATTCAGGCTGAAGTGGAATGAAGTCAGCAGGGTCTTGAGGAAGTCAGGCACTGGAGGGAAATTTTATCAGGCTATAGGAAGAACAGAAATGAGACAGCAGCTCTAAGAAATTAGCCCATGAGGCTCAAAGCACTCAGCAAAGAGGGGCTGACAGAAAGCTCAGGAAGGCCGTGGGAGAAACCAGGGCACGGAGAAAAAGGATCCAAACAAAGGAATGTATGAAATTGGGAGGAGGGAAGAGGAGGGGCCAAGGGGAATTTGCAGGACCTGATAGGCAGCCACTCCTGTTGCATAAGGGGGTGCTTGGGCTGTTGTGCTGTGCTTTTGGTCCTGAGGCCTTAGGTGGTGGTGAGGGCTGTGGGGAGGGAACAGACTCAGCCCCACCCTGGGAGTACTGACCTAATCACCTCAGAGGACAGCCAGAGAACCCAGGCCTTGAACCCATGACTGGCACAGAAGTGGCTCCCTGGCATTCTCCCGAATCCCTTCAACCAGCCCCAGTCCCGCCCTCACTCAAGTTTGGGGGTTATTTGTTTCCCCGCCTTCCCAAAGCCACACAATCCTGGTTTACCCAAACGCTGACAGAGCACAATCGGAATGTGGAGTGTGTGTGAGAGTGTGCACACAGGGCTCCCCCAGGCCCAACCGCCCAGCAGGCCCCTCCGCTCTCAGCAGCAAGGGTCCCATGGACAGAGAAGGCCCTAGAATGTCAGGGCTGCAGAGGCCCCTGCCCCTCCCCTCCTCTTGAATGCCTGTGGTTCCACCATTTTCTTCCAATCTCCACTCCATTTTCTGGTGTGGGGTGCAGGTACCTCAGGTATACACTGAGGCCTTGGTGAGAATTCATGTCCCCTTTCCTCTCCACTCCTATGTCCTAGGTCTGGGATCCTCTGCCTTCCTTCCCCTCAACGTGCTGCCACCTCACTCCAATCCTAGTCTCTTCCCCCCCATCCCACAAAAGGCTTAGAAGCCATTTAAAGGTGTTCTAGAATGACTGCTCCAGCTTCCAGGCCAACTGGGAGAGGTAGTGAGCATGTAGTCCCAAGGTTATGCAAGCACAGGGGACTCAACTCCAACCAGGAAGGCTGCAAACGAGGTTCTTGCCCTGTGGGAATCAGAAGCACTTGGGCATCCCCAAGCTTTAGGACGTGACCTGTCATCATACCCAAGAACAAGTTTTCATGAGAGGAAAGAAGTCTCATGTTGTATGTTTCCAATGAAGTTCAATTTGGGCATCTTCAAGGTCTGTCTTTCTTTTCTTGCAAGATCACATCCTGCCTAATTTTTTTTTTCTTTGAAAATACCTTTTGGTTACAAAACAATAGTAATGACTGCTGGTAGCTGTTGTTTCTCATGTCTTTACTTTGTAAAATGAAACTTTTGAAAGCCACTTTTTAAGTTTTAAGGAAATTTGGATAGAGACCCTTGAAGTAAGTAGTTCTGTTCCAGGCACAAGGCTTCTTTGAATCAACCCATCGATTGATCCATCCATCCATCCATCCATCATCCATCCATCCATCCATCCATCCATCCATCCATCCATCCACCCGTCCATCCATCCATCCATCCATCTCTCTATCCACCGATGCTGATTAGCAGAAGGCTGGCCCTGCCAGTGGGAGGGTATGGGGTGGGGGCCTGGCAGGGACAGTGCAGGTGAGCCCCCACAGGCTCAGGTGAGGCTGGGCTGAGGAGGTCCATCCATCCATCCATCCATCCATCCATCCACCCGTCCATCCATCCATCCATCCATCTCTCTATCCACCGATGCTGATTAGCAGAAGGCTGGCCCTGCCAGTGGGAGGGTATGGGGTGGGGGCCTGGCAGGGACAGTGCAGGTGAGCCCCCACAGGCTCAGGTGAGGCTGGGGCTGAGGAGGGCTGGGCTCATGAGAGAAGACACCTCAACTCCCTATATTGGAGTATCTGGGACCCTGAGATTCTGAGTGTTCCCAAACCTCTGGACACCTGTTCCTATTTCGACCTCTGGAGCCTGCAGCTGGAGCTGGTGGCGGCACAGGTTGATGGCAGTATAGATTGATGGCAGTTGTGGCAGGAAAGCACATATTCAGTGGCTTGTAGTCCAAGGAAAGGAGGGTGCTCAGTGACAAGGGACTGAAGAGGTAGTTGGGTTCCCCCTGTATGGCCTGGCCTAGTGGAAGGACTCTGGGCTGGGAGCCCTAATAGAGTGACATGGTCAGTCACCATATCTCTAGGCTGAGATAGCTCTATTCCTGGAGAAGGAGGGAGCGGTCCACTGTGAGGGACCATTGGTGGCTGTTTCTCAAGACCGAAGACTCTGTGCAGTCTACCCTCCGAGGGTCACCTCCTCATGGTCAACAGGTCCCTGGGTGAGTTCTGGGTAGGGTTTTTTTTTTTTTTTTTGGTGGTATTGGGGATTGAACTCAGGGCCTTAAGCGTGTTTAGGCAAGTGCTCTACCACTTGATCCTTGCCCCCAGCTCTGTCCTGCTATATTCTAGGAGCACTTGCTCCAGGATGGGCCTTGCCCTCCCTAAGGTCAAGGACTCAGTGGGGGCTCAGTTTGCTAGGGCTGAGATGAGGGCGGGGACCCTGAGAATTGTCTTAGCACACACTCCAGGAGGGGGATGCCCAGGCTGGCTCTGCGTTATAGAGGGGTCACTGAGTTCCCCTGTGCGAAAAGTGAACCAGAGAGGGGTGGGTAGAAGCAATGGAGGCAGTATGGTGGTGTTGACTGGGGTGCATAGCAGGGGATAAATTCAGGTGCAGACTGTTGAGGGAAGTCCTTGCTGGTCACTGTACAGGGCTCTACCCATCCCATCTCTGGGACTTAGTTTCCCTGCTGCGGGGGACTGAAGGTGTTGGGAACTCTGGTGTTGGAGTTCCTCTGAAGAGGCCCCTTCTGGCCTCTGAGCTTAGGGCTGGGGGCAGTTGGGGGAGGCAACAGCTGCTTTGAAATGTGGAGAATAATAAAGCCAGGAATGTCTGAGCTCAGGGGAAAAAATAACCCCACCCCGCCTGCTGGGCCTCCTACCCAGCTGGGTGTAATGAATTAAGTACAGGGAGGCACGTTTCATGTGGGGGTGTGGGCTGGGGAAGCGAGAAGGCTCCTAATGAGAAACAGGGTCCTGGGTGGAACCCCTGGGAGCTGGGGGTTCTGGACCATCTGACCTGACCCCTGGGCCTGCCCCTGGCTCCTTGGAGGTCTCCCCTCAATCGTCCCTGGGTATACATGTGTGAAGGAATCCGATGCTGTCCCAACCTGTGCTGCCATCTGACCCTGTGCTACACCCTGGCACTAACAGGCCAGAAAGGGGAGAAGGTGTGGTGCACTTGGAGGGACCCTATCTTCTCATCCTCACCTTTCAACAAGCATTTATTGAGTACTGGCTGGGTGCCTCCTCTATACAGGGTGATGGAGCCAACGCTGACCTCTGCTGGGCTGATTGAACCTGCAGCCTTGCCCACGAGCCCCTGGGGTGCAAACCCCAAGGTCCTGACACCTGCTTCCAGTCTCTGCAGCTTATCTTTCCCCTGGTCAGTTCTTCTATATTCCTCTGCTCTATGTGGGGTCAACCTCCCTTCTTCCCTTATGTCTCTGGTTTCAGCTAGCACTCTCTGCCCCAGTTTTCCAGGGGGCTTGGATATCAGTGGCTCCCAGATCTAGCTCTGCCTTTCCAGTCTGCCAGTCTTTGGGGAGCTGACTTTTCCATGGATTTCCTGCCTTCCCTCTCTCCTTCCCCCAATAAACTTAATGTTCCCCCACAATGCCTCCCAATCTCAGCTCCTCAGTCATGCTACTTCCTCTCCCTTATCTGTCTGCTGGACTCCAGTCACCTACCCCAAGGGCTGCTTACTGAAAGCCCACCATCCCTGGAGCAGCAATGGGGAGGGGAAGGGGAGACAGCAGGCAAGTGAGTTAGCTGTTAGCAAAAGGGCAAATTCTCAGTAAGGGAGCTTGAGAGGGAGGAGGCACATGAGGCTGTTTCTGGGGCTCTCCAAGGATTCTCACCTCCCAGCCTCTGACAGTTTGGGGTAAGACTCCCACTTTATTTTTAAGAAGTCTGGCCCAGGATTTGGAGATGCTTTATTCTCCCCCATCATCCTTCTCTCCCCACCCACTTTAATTAAAACCATTGTTTTTCAAGCACATGTTAATTAAAAAGCAAACATGTTTTGCTAAGTAATTTGGAAGCTCTGGTTATGCAAACCATAGCCATTCCAGTTTTTTTTTTTTTTTTTTTTTAATCCATCACCCAGCTTTCCCCAGTGTCTTGGGAGCTGAGGACCTCTATGTCTACTGTGGATGGATAGCTTTTATAGTTTATATTCACCCTGTGGTGGTCAGTGTGTCCTCTGTGTCTCACACGTGGGGACGTGGAGGACCAGAGTAGGGACATTGTCTCAGAGTCCAGCTGTGAAGGGAGAAGGATGGAGGCGTGACAAGTCTGTGAGCCCAGGAAGGAAGGCTGGCAGTTGCCTGGATGTCTAGGGCTGCCTCCCCAGGGTCTTCAGTGCATCTGGGCCTTGTGTAACCAATGCTGAGACCATAGGTCCTGTTGTGAGGGCTCAAGGCTGGCCTGATAGGTGCACAGAGCCCTGGATGGTCAGAGACACCAACTCAGCTCCCCATACTGTACCCATAGTGCCCATATTCCCACCTTGGCTCCTGGCCCTGGAAGTCCTGGGGCCTTTGAGATCCTTCACACCCTGGAGAGCACCATCAGGGCCCATGGCAAGGACCTGAGACCTCCGAAGTGCAGGGGCCAGTGATCTCTTGCTTCCTCTATTCCCTGGCCCTGACAGGACAGCTTGCCAATGGGTCCTTTCCATGTCTCGTCAATCTACCTGTCGGCCTTTCCAACTCGAATTCCTAGAATAGGCGGCTTCCTGCCTCGGTGTGCCTCTACAGAGGAATTCAGGTGTGTATCTTTCCTCCTGCGGTCTGTTGATAGCATCAGTGATGGCAGTGACCTTGGTGTGATCAGAAGGGGAAGATTGTTTGAGGTCTATGGGGGTGGTGGAGGAGGGTCCCCTGAGGCTGTAACCAGAAGAGTATGTATGGGTCCGCGGAGGTGAGTGCTGGGCACTGAGGGACAACTAGGTCGGCCGGGACATCTGCCTTTACGCAGGGCCACAGGCTCAGGGCGGCAAGCTGAGCTCCAGCCTTATGCACCTAGCCAACCTCCTCTCCTCTGGCCTTGGCCGCCTATTCTGTAAAAGGAAGAGCACGTGCCGGAGGAGCTGTGCAGCGATCCTAAGCGCAGTGCTTCCTCCGTGACACACACACACACACACACACAGCCAGCCCACGACCCACGGTGACAGCAGCGACACATGCTGGCGGCCGGCGCGTAGGGCTCTGCCTGGCTGGGCCAGCGCCAGCGCTCCACACTGCCTCTCTCTGGTTCACACCCACATCCCGGAGGAGCGGCTGCACGGCCGCGCTCCCCCGGCCCGGCCCTCCGCGCGGCGCTTCTGTGTTCTGTGCGCTCGCAGCCGCGTGGAAACCGCAGCGGGGCGGGCGGGGCCGGGATGAGCTCACGCCGCCGCCCGCCCGCCAGGCCGCCCAGTCCCTAACTGGCTCCAGATGCCGCCGCGGGCGGGCGGACAGGAAGGTGCGGCCCTCTAGCGCCCCCTGCAGGGCATCCGGGCGTGAGCTGCGCGCCTAGGAGGGAGCTGCACCCCAGAAGAGCACGACCTGGTGGCCTCGCCGCTGTTTCTTAGGTCTGCCAGCCGCCTGAGTTCTAGCCCCCGCACTGCAGCTGGGGAGATCAAAGTCAAGACCCCTTCCTGGTTGGTTCGTCCTCCCTATGCTGGTGATCCGTCCTCCCGGGGCCCGGGAGCACCCCGATGCTCCGCGCAGCGCCAGGAACGCCGGAGCAGGTACTGCAGCTCAAGCCTCCCGCCTCGGGCCCTGGATCGGCCCTCCCTCCTCTTGTTCCTCTTGGAACAAACACCCCAGCTTCTACTGGGAAAGCAGCGGGGGCCTGACCACCGCCTGGTTTTAATAAGGAGCTGGTATTTCCCCGAAATCGCCGGCCCTGGCTGACCTCATGGGGATGACAACTGGCCGCGCGCCAGGGGGCGGGAGGCGCTCCCGGGTGAGCCCTTGACGCCCGACCTGGCAGAGACTTGGCAGGGAGGAGGGGCTCTGGGTTCCAGTCCTGGCCCAGCTGCTGGCGTATCCAGCGATCTGTCTGTTTATTTGTCTACTGTGTGTGCCCTGGGCCAATAGCCCTGCTTCTCAGTCCAGCTTCTGGATTCAAGATCCGCTTTACTCCTGCCTCGTGGGATCCTGGCAAACTGCTTAACCTTTCGCCTCTCATTTCCTCCACTGTAGGATGGGATTTGGGATTAGACAGGAGACCAGCGTGGGGGAGATTAGATGGGCCCGGCAACGTTTCCCGAAGGCAGGAGGAGAGGCCTGTCAGGAGCTAAAGGGCCAGAAATCAGGATTAGGTTTCCCCGTGGGAGAAATTCGTGGGAGGAATTGCCATCTGCGGGTGACGTAGTGACAACACGGTGTCCGAAGGAGTGCTTAGTGAAGGATCAGCTCCCGGGCTGTGGGAACCCAGAGGTTGGGGAGAGCGTGAGGGAAGGCTTTCCAGCAGAGGGACACTTAGCAGAGAGGTGGGGAGCCAGAGTCTTTCTACAGGTGAAAGGGTGGGCTGCAGGTTGGAATGGAACAGAGTGGGCCCAGGCACTGAAGTCCTGGGTATCCAGGAGGATGCTGCCTGAGGCACTGCTGGGAGCGAGGACACTGGTAGCTCATCTACAAGGAGGGACAAAGCCTGAGAGCCACACAGGGACACAGAGTCCAGGGGGGAGGGGTGAAGGAGCAGGGAAACAGAGAGAGGAGAGGGAGCAGGCAGAGAGCCAGGCAACTGGATGTTTCTGGTGGCTGGAAGATTATGTTCTCTCTGGTGCCTGTGCCTTCCAGATGCCTGGGGCCCCTCCCGACAGTAACAATGACAAAATAACAGTGACTAATACTTAGTGAGCACTTAGTACTGGTAAGTATTTATATATTCTATCTTCACCACAATTCTATTCATTCATCTGCTCATTCATTTACCCAACAGACGTACACTGAGTGACTACTGAGTGTCAGGCATATTACAGGTGCTGGAGATACAGCAATGAGCAAGTTGGACAAAAACCACTCATCCACATAAAGTTTACAGGAGGGGGAGGAGTTTTTGGAACAGGAAGACAGCTAATACATGAGTTAATAAAAAAAATATATATAGTATATCAGATTATGAGAAGTATTATAAGGAAAATTAGGGGGCGACAAGGTGATTGGAAGGGCAGTATGGGGGAATGCATTTTTTTTTTTTTTGTGGGATTGCGGTTTGAACTCGGCTCCACATTTGCAAAGTAGGCTCTCTACCACTTTCCTCCAGTCCATTTTGCTTTGGTTACTTTGGAGATGAGGGTATCCTGAATTATTTGCCCAGGTTGGCCTTGAACCTTGATTCTCCTCATCTCAGCTTCCCAAGCAGCTAGGATTACAGGCATGAGCGACCAGTGCCTGGCTGGGACATAGTTATTGAGAGTGCCCAGGGAAGGTCTCATTGAAGAGGTTAACATTTGGGTCTAGATCAAACATGGCCCTGGTGCTGCTTAGTTGAGAATGGTTTTTACATAACATTTGCAATCAATTTCATGATAGGGAACACTAACTTTGATGTTATCCCCTGAAAGAAGAATTCCATTCTTCTTAGGAGACCTGGAGTAAAAAAAAAATCCAAGGCACCATAGAGGGTATCTTAGCCCAGTACTTGGGAGGCTGAGATAGGAGGATCACTTAAATCCAGAAGTTGGACACCAGCATGGGAAACATAGCTTAAAAAAAAAAGTACTTAATTCTTATTATACTTTTCATTAGTAAAAGTTTTGTGGAAAATTGTTTTTTCTCTTGTTCTTTAAGAGCCTACATAATTGCCTTATTGTCTCTTGGCACACAAAACCTAAAATATTTACTATCTGGCCTTTTCCAAAAAAAGTTTGCAGATTGTGGCATAGATCCAGGAGGACAGGAAATGAGTTGCATGCTATCTGGGCCAAAAGGAGCAACCAGTGTAAGGACCTGCAGGCAGGAGCCAGTGAGGCCCACTAAGGAGGCCAGCGAGGCTGGGTCCTGTGATTGAGGAGAGTGGTTAAGACAGGGTGAGAGGAGCCCAGCCAGGTGGCAAAAGGCCTGCTACTGATTGCTGGGTGTTTTAAAAGGAGTGTGTGGCTATCATTAATGGAATATTTTTTCTAATTTGTTATTGCCACTGAGTAGTAAGTAATTTGGTTGTATGCTTATCTGTTCCCCCAGTTCTCTTAGTTTATTCTACCATTATTTTAATTTTTCTTGGCAGTATTGGGGTTTGAATTCAGGGCCTCGTAAATGCTAGTCAGGTGCTCTACCACTTGAGCCCTTTGAATAGGGTCTCATGTTTATGCCTAGGCTGCCTTGGGTAGCAGTCCTGTTTATATTCCCTGAGTAGCTGGGATGACAGGCATGCACCACACACTCAGCTTTTTTTTAGTTGAGATGGGGGGAGGTGTCTCTTGAGCTTTTTGCCCAGGCTGGCCTCAAACTGAGACCTCCCAATCTTGCTTCCTGAGTAGCTAGGATTACAGGCATGAGCCATTGGTACCCGGCCTCTATTATTATTATTATTATTTTTAAATTTTTATTGTTTTATTATTCATATGTGTATACAATGCTTGGGTCATTTCTCCCCCTGCCCCCACCCCCTCCCTTACCACCCACTCCGCCCTCTCCCTCTCCCCCCTACCCACTCGATACTGGGCAGAAACTATTTTGCCCTTATCTCTAATTTTGTTGAAGAGAGAGTATAAACAATAATAGGAAGGAACAAGGGTTTTTGCTAGTTGAGATAAGGATAGCTATACAGGGAGTTGACTCACATTAATTTCCTGTGCATGTGTGTTAACTTCTAGGTTAATTCTTTTTGACCTAATCTTTTCTCTAGTTCCTGGTCCCCTTTTCCTATTGGCCTCTGTTGCTTTTTAAGGTATCTGCTTTAGTTTCTCTGCGTTGAGGGCAACAAATGCTAGCTAGTTTTTTAGGTGTCTTACCTATCCTCATATCTCCCTTGTGTGCTCTCGCTTTTATCATGTGCTCAAAGTCCAATCCCCTTGTTGTGTTTGCCCTTGATCTAATGTCCGTATATGAGGGAGAACATACGATTTTTGGTCTTTTGGGCCAGGCTAACCTCACTCAGAATGATGTTCTCCAATTCCATCCATTTACCAGCAAATGATAACATTTCGTTCTTCTTCATGGCTGCATAAAATTCCATTGTGTATAGATACCACATTTTCTTAATCCATTCATCAGTGGTGGGGCATCTTGGCTGTTTCCATAACTTGGCTATTGTGAATAGTGCCGCAATAAACATGGGTGTGCAGGTGCCTCTGGAGAAACCTGTGTCACAGTCTTTTGGGTATATCCCCAAGAGTGGTATTGCTGGATCAAATGGTAGATCAATGTTTAGCTTTTTAAGTAGCCTCCAAATTTTTTTCTAGAGTGGTTGCACTAGTTTGCATTCCCACCAACAGTGTAAGAGGGTTCCTTTTTCCACCCATCCTCGTCAACACCTGTTGTTGGTGGTGTTGCTAATGATGGCTGTTCCAACGGGTGAGATGGAATCTTAGTGTGGTTTTAATTTGCATTTCCTTTGTAGCTAGAGATGGTGAGCATTTTTTCATGTGTTTTTTAGCCATTTGAATTTCTTCTTTTGAGAAAGTTCTGTTTAGTTCACTTGCCCATTTCTTTATTGGTTCATTAGTTTTGGGAGAATTTAGTTTTTTAAGTTCCCTATATATTCTGGTTATCAGTCCTTTGTCTGAAGTGTAGCTGGCAAATATTTTCTCCCACTCTGTGGGTGTTCTCTTCAGTTTAGAGACCATTTCTTTTGATGAACAGAAGCTTTTTAGTTTTATGAAGTCCCATTTATCTATGCTGTCTCTTAGTTGCTGTGCTGCTGGGGTTCCATTCAGAAAGTTCTTACCTATACCTACTAACTACAGAGTATTTCCTACTCTTTAGAGTTAAGTGGTCTGATACTAAGATCCTTGATCCATTTTGAGTTAATATTGGTATAGGGTGATATACATGGATCTAGTTTCAGTTTTTTTATTATTATTTTTTTGATTGGTTTATTTGCATTTGTGTTAGAAGGTGACTGGGTCTTCTGTAAGTGATGTATTTTGTGTCTTCCTGTTTTATAAACCTCAGTGTCTTCCTTTCTTTCCCTTTCTCCACTCTCCCTCTCTTTACCTCTCTATTCTCATCACCTTCCTCTCCTCGCCTTCCCTGCCCTTCTTCCTCTGCCTTCTCTCACTCCTTCCCTCTTCCATCTTTCTTCCCTTCTTCTCCACTCTTCTCCTTTTCTGTTCTCTTTGATGCTCTCTCCTCACTCCTGTCTTCATCATGAACCTTTGTTGGCCTTCCTGGGGTAGGAGACAGAAGTTTAGGCCCCTGACTGGGTGTGGGGGCTCATAGTGAATGCTTGTGTCAATCAGAAGATGCTCTGTTATGAGGAACAAAATTCTAATGTCAAGCAACTCCAAGGGTAAGGGGGACCAGTGGATGGTGTCCCAGGGTGGTCCATGGGTCAGGCAACTTCCATGAGTAATCCATAGTGTCTATTTCAGTCCTCTGAGCTCTGTGGTCCTCAGTGTCAATGCTGTCACAGGCTGTCTCCTCCTTGCAAGAGGCCTGCTCCACCCCAGAGAGCCCACAAAATTTCATCCACTTCCTCCCTATCGCCCTCACCCCTTCCCTCCCTCTCTCGCTCCCTCTTTCCTTTCCCCTCTCCTTCTCTCCTTCTCTCCCTCTGTCTCCCTCTTATATTGGGACT